TTCTATATATTTGAAACATCTCTATGTATATAATATATACACACTACATATATATATATCATGTCCTCGCATGTCTACCACAGCACATCTGTCCTGGGAGCTCCCGGTCGAACGTCCAAAGAAGCGCATCATTGAGACAAAATGGCAGTTGGCCCGTTGGCCCCCAACCAGGGCGAGGAGTGAGCCAGAGGGGTGCTTCGTTCCTTGTTTTGTTGATCATTGTTTATCACTTTGTTTCTTTGGTTGTCATCTGTTCTGTTTCCATGCAATTCATCACCAACATTGGCAGCACCATCTATGCAGCAGGATCGCAGGTAGCAGTCTGCCCAAGTTTCATGAATGTGACTGGCTGTAACTGCATTGATCAGAAAATTGTGTCTGCGCACAGTGTCAAATTGTACCTTTCCTTCCTGGATCAAGGTAGGTTGATCAAGCACAGGCGAGCACCCTACAAATAGCTGCGACAGGAGCCGTGCCGTTGGCCGAGTGTGTGCAAAAGCCAGTTTAGATCGCATGGTACGGAGATTTCTGGTTCAAAAATCTTGAAAAACCACACAGTTGCAACGTATTGTATCTAGACGTATCCACTGCACATGACAGCACATGTCCAGATTGCAGTGCCTGGGTCACATCTGGCCCGTTTGCCTGGTCCAGCAGTTTGCCCGCTGCAGGACTCTGGAAAGAGTTGCAAGATTTCAAGACTTTCAAATTCTAAAAGAGTGCACAGATTTGTATAGTGTCAGAATGGCCAGGGCTGCAGGAAAAATTGCCCGTTTTACCTTGACCTCTTTTTTGATCTTTGTGCAAATCTCCCTTGCGGGTTTAGAACTCTTGTGCCCTGCCACCACTGCAAGTCGCATCGTGCACCTGGCCGCTTCTGAGCCGAGCCAAAGGTTCTGCCAGAGTGGTGGGAACCGGTCTCAGGTCTGCTTCCTGCCGTCGCTCAGCATGCTTGGCAGTCCATAAAAAGCACTCTCGACAGATCTCGACAGTGAAAAACTGAAAAGAATGGATGACCTGACGACCTGACGACCTTGCAAGCTCCAACAACGAAATGAATCGGAAACCCTTTGCCCTTTGATGCCCTTTGCTTTTGCAGCATCCGGAAGTGCCTGCTGCCGCTGCTGGAACGCTTGTACACATCGCAACAGCAAAACCTGAGGTCGTGTCATTGGGAAGCGATTGTGACAGCAGTAGTTTTGACACAATTTGACAACAGGCATCAACAGGCTGCAAAGCCACAACAATCATCGTGAATTGTGTTGCTTTGCTCCGTGTTTGGTCAGCATTGCACCCGCTCGCGTTTGATCTCGCGGACCAACACGGCAGTGATGCCTCAGTTATTGCAAACATATATACGGTCATCCAGTCATTCAACACATTTTGAACAGGTATTTTAAATTATATAAATACAGGCAATCAATGGCAATCGTATGATGTTCACATCAGCACAAAAGCGGCTGCACATGAACTGAACACTGAGATTGAGGAATCTGATGGCATCTGAAACAGTCTTTCGCTCCACTAACAACATGGGCTCGCCCTCTTTGCAAACAACAGCAATACCTCGTGAGATCTCGAGAGCATCAAAAAACCTCAAAGCTGTGCAAAATCAAAAGCCAGGTGCAGCTTTGAGCTCTTGACCGTCAGCACCAGTGGACTCCGTTGAATCCAGGTACTCTTGCATGTCGTGTGGCGGAGGTTCCAACATAGACAGCAGCTGACCGCAGGCCTTGCGCAGATTGCTGTCATTGGTGAAGTGTCACGCAGAAGTTAGGAACTACAAATCAAGATGGCATGTAGATGCATGTAGCAACCAAATGATCTCCAGCGCACAAGAAGTTTGTTTACATGGTCCTCCACTTCTTTGTCCAGTCTCGCCTGCTCAACAGCTTTGTAAATGTATCGGTCCTGCATAGGAGAAGTTTTAGGCGGCTACCGGCCGACAAGGATTGCAAGGCCAAACAATCAAAGAAAACTCACGCAGAGCGAAATTCAGACAGGTGAGTGCTACTTTCCAAGTCTAAAACAAGATGAAAAAGGGGATCTACAGTTCTGTATGGACAAGCATGCTACATTCGCTAATGCATCAAGGTTGATTTCTTGAATAGAATAGTATAATTGTCCAGGAATTGCCAGCCAATGTATGTCCATATGTCCAATGGTTGGCAGAGCTGTTTGCGACATGAAGGCTGGGGCGTAGACGCGTCCATCTATGCACATACATTTCTCCACGACCCTTTTTTTGTTGTCCAACTTCCAGATTGCTGTAGATGATCAGAGTGCCAGCTCAGCTACATTGGCTATACATGCTGAGCTCAATCAGAATCTGTCAGCAGCAAAGATACAAAGACAGGATTCCGTGCTCCGTGAACTACCACGAAAGCTGGATCTGCCAAGTGCTCATGCGGCATAAAGTGCCTTGGCTTTCACATAGAGAGCCTTGCCCTGCGCCGTCTTTCCGTTCACAGCACAAAAACCTTTGATGCCCAACTCCTTCCTGGCCTGCATCACTGCGTTGTTCCAGCCGGAGATGTTCTTGAAGCGGTTCTTGGCCGCAGCACTGGCCTTCTTGCTCACGACTTTTCCTCTCTTGTTGATCATGAGATCATTGCGTGTGTGTCCAGAGGAAGTTTTCTCCTTCTTGCCCTTGAAGACGGCGATCTTGGCACGCTTGCCTCGAGCAATTTTGCTCACTGCCTTCTTCTTCATGACACGAGCTTTCATCGTCGTTGCTTTCATCGCCTTCATGGCCTTCATGGCCTTCATTGCGGACTTCATTGGGAGAGCCATGCTGAAAGCAGTCGACTAGATGATCTAAGGCGGAGCAAACTACAAGCTTGAGCCAAAGGAATATCTCAGCATGTCTTAATTCTTAAATTATCAAGTGTTTCTTAGATTCTTGTCCACTGCGTATGTATATATATATGTGTGTGATATGTAACTATATATATACATATATTATCAGTTGCATATCAATTGTATGTTTTTACAAACAGGATTCATGTATATATATACATATATTAACATGTATCATGATATATACATTTGTATATATATATACTGTAAATCAACTGTTACAACATGTCACAACCATCAAACGACCAAAACCGCTTGCAGCCAGGTCCTCTCGCAGCTGTTCATGGGGTTGAAGCTCCCCAAACTGCTGCTGGAAGGACAAGTAGCGAGCCTTGTCAAATCTCCATGTTTTGCAGAGTAAGAAAACAGGACAAAAACATACAAAACATTACAAAACGAAAAGTGTTGACTTTCTATCGTCTTTCCTGTCAACGAGTTCATGCAAGGTCCTGCCTGTCTATGGCAATCAATGATTGAGTTTTCAATGATGTCTGGAGAATCATAGCGCAGGATGTAAGCAGGGCAGTGAACCTGGCAGCGTGGCCCCGGATGTTTGGAGTTCATCAGTTCATCATTTCAAGATATTTCAAGAATGGTTCTCCTAGCTTTGGGTGGCCAGCCCCACCAAAATCACCAAAACGGCAGCTGAAGCAACGAATGTTCTGCAGTTCAAACAGGTTTTGCTCGGAAAAAATCAAGGACCCTGTAGAACTGCAAGTGTGGTTGTGTGAGCTTTCGTTCAATCTCATTCAGCTACATTGCTAATTTTGTTAAACACGACACTCATCTCAGTTTAAATAATTTGGCGGCTGGCTTTCAAACGTATGGCCACTTCAAACAAGTAGCTGCGAGCACTTCTTTCAAAAGCATCCGTCTTGGTGACTGCGAAAGAACGCCTTGTCACTGTCTACTCATCTATGAACAAGGACTGTGCAAGGCTTGGAGCTATAAAAAGGCGCTCATGGAGAAAAGTGTTGCTGCCATTTTTTGCCATTTTCTGCCTTTCCAGTCTTCCCTGAAATGGTTCTCGGGAAATTCCAGCACCAAGCCTACAGCCCGCAGAACTACAGCCTAGAGCAAACGACCCTTACGGCCGTAAAATCCGCGATGGAAGTGCACCTTCGAAGCAGGGTTCCACTAGACCCAGCAATCTTCAATGCCAAAGGCCAAAAAAGGAACTGTGAATTTGCGACACTTGGGATCTATGCGTGTTTTTGATCTGTTTTGGGAGTCAGAAAAGGCATGAAAGGGCATGAAAAGGCCCCACTTCACAGCGTTTGGAAGTCATCAAACAACAAGCGTCTCACGCATCATTGGGAGCAGGAAGGACTTGACTCCCAGCAACTTAGGTCCAAGCCATCTGCCAATTTTCGCAGATTGTCTGCCCCCTTTGCAAGCGGCCTGCCATGAAGTCACTTTATGTCACTTGTTGGATGAGCAAGCTTTGCATTGTCATGATGATCATGGCATGTATATGAGATCTTTCATCAAGAGTCACAACTTCAGGGCATGTGGCTTAGATATGCTTACATAGATGTTCAGGATGAAATTGATGAAATCATATGAAATCTACGAAATTCCTAAATCTATTCGGCCTCAGCTTCGGAGGCCGTCGTTCGGCTCCAGTGGCGGGCGGCAAATGCGGTGACTCAGTGATCAGCCAGGCTGCATGAAGAGTGCCAGGATACACTGCGGCGATCTGCGGCGCAACTGTGCAACTACTGAAAACTAAAGGATACTGAAACATACTGAAAGATACTGAAAGATACTATATGGAACAGTGCCAATTACGTATAGTCTGAGATTCACACACTCTGAGATACTGCCAGAGGTTTGATCTTCTTGGAGATGCCAGCCCTTGCCGGTGAGACGTTGGCCTGACACACAGCCATGTCCCTGCTAGAGCTAGAGCCAGCGGATAGCACATCCGGAACATGTATTTAAAGGCACCACAAGGAAGAGTCCTTGCAGTTGTTCAGGTAATTCCCAGGCACCGCTTGGTATGTGACCTTGCAATTTGGGATCCGGTTCACAGATCTCTGCAACACACGTTTCGATTCAGCTCTTTGAAACAGTTTGTTTTCCTGACCGTTTTTTTGTGTGTTCATGACGAGCAGAACAGCATCTGTTGCAAGCTGAGCCAAACACTCGTTGCCTGAGGAAACGTTTTTCCTGCAGCTCTGGATCATGGTGCAATTTCAGGTCCTGACAACGCATTGCATCGCTAAATGGCCTGGATGGATAGACAACTGGATGAGATTGGATGATGTTTTGGCCATCAAATATCTACATGTATCGTCCTATGCATATATGTACATTATTCTATATATATATATACATATTATATATATGTGTGTTTATCGTCATGTATCATATACATAATTTAAATCATCTATCTTTGGTGGACTGACATTTTTAATGTCAGGTCCCATCAGATTCCCCTTGTTCTTGCCCTGCGAGTGCTGCCATTTCGCTCCTCTCCGAGATCCATGTCCATGGCTGACCTCGGGAGGTGGTCAGTAACTTTGCGTCTGGGACCGTGCAGACAGTAAGTTAAGTTTTCAAAAAAGAAAGCAGACATGAACTGACAATGAATTACATTTAGTATACTGACATAATAATACATAATATAACAATATAATACAATATATAACAATGTATGATAATATATGTTTCATATCTCCCCTGGCAAGAAAGATAAGAAAGAGCCTTGAACAAAAACCTACGGAGTTGACCAAGCCTCTAACGAGCACGGTTTGCTACGTACAATCTAGTCGTCTAGTTCATGCTACATTGACTGGTCGGTCACCAAAGCTCACCAAACTTTGTGCAGCTGAGCATTTCACTTTGGTCTATGTTGATGGTATGCATTAGGCTGACCCACCACCCTGCAACCAAAGGCCAATGACTTCCATCGCTAGAAAATATGCAGCTTCACTATTTTTCACACAGCAGTAGCAGTGATTCGCACCTGTGATAGTTCAAGCGAAGGATTCGTTTTGTCTCATCATTGGCCTTCGCAGGAATTGTGAATTTGTGACTGTGGGAACTCTATGGAACTCCCAGGTGTCCAACCTTTCTAGGATCCATAGGAAGCGATGGCAAGCTCAGCACCTGAAGCCATGGAACACTCCCAATTTTCAATACCAGTTACTCATCGTTACCCATCGTTACCCCTAGGATTCCCCAAGATGTGCCAAGAAAAATCATGGAATAACCTTTGGATAACCTCAGCGCACGCTCCTCGATTCAAACCCGATTCAGGCAACATCTGCTGTGACAAGCGGCAGTCGGTAGCTTTGTGCCAGGAGCAGGCGTGTAGAATTTCTCTTTCACAATCGCCTGCCAAGCCGTGTCATTGCAGGCTTTAGATCCCAATGTGCCATAGCTATGCCATAGAGGCTGTTAGATCATGTCACTTTGGATCCGGAGGATTTGTAAGGCATTGTACTATGGGTAAGGTGTCAAGGTTCACAAACAACAGTGATATCTGGTGATATCTGGCCCCGTGCCTCCAGCTCCCGGTTCTCCTGCTCGTGCAACTTCATCAAACCTGATATGGTGAGAGCTGTGTGACTGCTTGGTCTCATGGATTGGTCTCATGGCCAAGTGATCATAGTGATCATAATGTGATCATTCTCAGTCAAAAGATGTCAAAAGAGCATGCCACAAAGTACACCATAGGTCACCAGAGGTCACCAGAGTGCCTTCAATGGTGTGTTGTGCAAGTCGGTGCGCCACTGCTGCAGCAGCGCCTGTTTCTCTTAAGACATGCATTCAAGAGTCTCACCCCACATCACAGTAGGGATAGGATGGGATACAGGTGATAAACTGATTCGATCCCCATGGTCAAAAGTAGCCTCTGTTTGGTGATGGCCCATGCCCTTCAAAGAGCATCCAAGAGTTCGTCCAGTGTCAAGCTGCAAAGTCACAATGAGGAAGATTGTCTTGCTTGAACGTCTCTGTCTCTCTCTCTCTCTGTTATTCTTTCTTGAGATTCACTTCATTGTTGCATCTTGCACAATGCTGCTGTTCCTGATCCTGCAGGTGGACGCACG